ATACATATTTTTTCATGTCAGTGAAAGTTCAGTTATTACAAATCTTTTACTATGAATATAAAACGTTTTATACTCCAGGCAAACCATTATTATGTTGGTATGTGCATATTAACTTTTATCACCAAAATATTTTTCAAACAGAGCAGAAGAATTAGAATTTAATTGATAATGTATCTTAATTTGAACAGTTTAATTGTAAAAGATGCTTTAGGTTTAGCTAGAGAGCCTCATACAAGATATAGGTTTATTCATAATCCCCCATCAAGCAAACTAAGGTCATCCTCCTGCTTTAAACGTAAAGTATTCTGCATTGTACATATAGTATTACTCTACAAAATCACTACAGTCAAATAATGATTCTTTCTGGTATTTATGCTAAGAATGTACAATTAATTTTAGTTGACTTGATTGACATTTATAACTATCAACATACGAGTTGTAAACTTAATACCATTTTAAGTGTGCTTTGTGTGACACTATTAGCAGATGAGTCACTGGCTGTCTGACCAAAAGCCTGATAAATCATATTTTATCCTGGACAAGCAGAGCGTCAATTGCCAAAGATGTGGCAGCAAAACATTACATCTCCACTTCAATGCTTGTAACAGGCTTCAGATTTGACAGACATGTTAAAATAGATCTTTAAGAAGATAGGCTTAGGCATCTAAATTCTGAGGTACAAGACACTTCTTAATCTTGCATAAAAAAAGCCTCCATCTAATAATGTTCTATTTTGCTAAATTAAAAATACGAATGCTTAAAGTGAACACTTTTGTAGATAACAGGTCCTACTCTTAACCAGATTGATACCAAGGATCTGCACACATAAGACCTTACAATGGCCAAAAACAAAGCACTCAGAAATAAAATAACCGTTACCATAGCATCATGCATATCATTTTAATACCAAACACAAACTTAATTACACCCATGTGAGAATGGGCGAGGACGGCTTACACCACTATTCAAATCAATTAGCTAATTAACACCACTGTATAGCTTTCAAAAAGATTAGAAGCCTCCAAAGAGGGGGAGTGTCAACCTTTTGCAGACAAGGAGCTGGGTACAATGAGTCTTTGCCTATATGAAAAGCTGGAGGATTCAAGTCTCTACTCTCCTCTAAAAAGGACCCAATATTTGTTCCCATTTGTCTTATGGAAGATGTGAACAGATCATGCTGGCCTTCAATGAAGACTGCAGGGAAAGTGCTGGTGTTTTCCATAGAATGTCCTCTCTCTTTTCTGGTTTGACGGTAGAGGTCATGGACTCACCAGTCTCTGATGGTACTCTGAAGTACCCCTCCTCCCCCACATGTTTAAACCAAGATGGGAATTATGTCCCTTTTCTCCAGAAGGTTCAGGGCATAGCTGCAATGCTATTGTTTTGTGTCCCTCCTCCCCAGAAGGCTCAGGCTGGAACAGCAATATCAATGAGTCATGTTCCTCCTCTCCTGGAGACACAGGCCAAGATGCTTCATCATCTTCTTCAGGGCCTGGTGACAATAGGTTGTTGTGGTTCCCTCTCCTTCACCTCAGAAGACTCTTGGTTCATAGGACAAAGCACATCCTTCAACTTAGGGAGCTTTTGGGTCACCACAAATCACAGCTCAGAATCACCCTCATTCCTGGAATCTCCTTTTATACAGTATGTCTCTAAAGAGTCTTTGTAATTTGTAAGTGTTTTATTAAACTTTGAAAGATTTAATTCTTTTGTTGATTAATATTTTTTTAGCAACAAATTCTTCTCAATTCTCTCAATTCTGTGGAAAGAATATGCTCTTGTAACCCTTTCTTTTCAGAATGGGCTGGATGAACTGAGCTTGCAGGTTTTCCACCTCTCCACTAATGTCTCAGCACTTCTCAGCCAGTGTTGGATCTTTGAAACTGTGGCCACCTCTTGCTGGGTCTTTTCTGGCTCGGCTTGGAGGCCATTGCTGCAACTCTGAGACTTTTAGCTCATTACTCACCTCTTTCAGTTTGCTGAAGTCTGCTTTCTTTTTTCACTCTGGCAGGACTTTAGCTAACTGATCTGTCACATGGGCAGGTATTTTAGGCATTAAGTTCTTTCTCCACTGTCCATTTCATGTCACAAGCAGTTATTTTGGACTCCATGTTCTTCCAAAGGTGTTCATATGCTTGCAGGGACTCACTCTTCTCCCTGTGTTCACAGGTTAATTTGGTGGAATTGTGAATCAGTTTTTCTCGCTGGCTCTGTCTAGTGTTCTGCTGGAGTTACCCCACAGTAGCATTATCCCATTGAAGAAAGTTCAAGAACAGTGTACCATGTCAAGCTTCCTGCCACTGCTGCTGGCTAAGAAGTTCTGTGATCAGCTGCTGGCACTCAGTTACTTGGTCCTGGCAGCTGGAGCACCTCTGGATCATCTTGGATGCTCAACAACGTCTTCAGCTCAGCTTCAGATATAGGCTTAGGCTCTGGGACTTTCCAATTCCTTGGGCTGAAAATTGTATTCTGATCCAATCCCCAGTGAGCAGGAAGTCATGGCAGGATTACTTTGATTGGGGAAGCAATGCTAGTCATAGCCAGATCCCCTATAACTGCCACACAAATCTACAGTAAGTCCCTTTCAGGGCCCTCTTATTAACTGGGTGGCAAAGATCACCACAACATAATTCTCATTATGACTTCCTTCTGTTCCCCAAAGCTTTACAGGTTTTTGATGAGGGCTCAGGTCTTCCCAAATCAGCTCCTTGCATTAGACCATTATTTAGTTTTCAAAAATAAAGAAAACAAAAACTAGGGTAGCAGCACGTCATTTGCAAATGTCAGAGTGTTCCTGGGTTTCAGGACCAATTTACAACAGACCCTACTTTTCATCTGTATGATCCCAAGGGTCTACAGACATTAAATTTCACAATGGCCAAGAGAGATAAAGTTCAGGTGGCTTTTAAGGGGTCCTTTTCGGGATTTACAACAAAAAGGTAATTAATTACATTCATGTAAGGATGTACAAGAACAACATTCACCACTAATCTAATCAATTAGATAAGTAACACCAACTGTGTATTGTAGCTATTTACAAAGAATAGTCTGAGAGTCTGTGTAACAGCCTATAGTGGCAGGATGGCTATAACTGCAAAAAAGTTCAAATATATTTATTGCACAAGCATTAATTTCTATATATATCATCACTCCTTAGTGCAAACACTTTTGCAATCATTACAATTGCAAGAATTTTTAGATAAATCTGCACACCGAAATGATGCAGTTGTCACCAATATGCCTGTGAAAGCTCACTCAAGCTCTGTTAGTTTCGTTTAGGATCACTGATGGAAACCAATCTTAAAGTTTTACCACAGTTTTTCTATAGGATTCAATTTAAGACTTTTGACTGGGCTACTCAAGGATATTTGTTTTCCTCTTGTTAAGCCACTCTAGTGTAGCTTTGTCCTTGTGCTTTCTTTAGGTTACTGTCCTGCTGAAAGATTCATTTTTTATACCAGCATTTGTTTTTGTGCAAACAGAAGCATTTTTTCCTCTATGATTTGCCTGTACTTTGCTCAATTCATTTTCCCCCAATCTAGCCAAGTTTTCTAGTCCCTGCTGATGAGAATCAGCCCCATATGATAATGCTGTCACCAAAAGAGATGGTGTTGACTGAGAGATATCTGTGCTAATTGTAACTATTGCAATTTAGACCAATATGTTATTTTGGCATCATCTGCCCATAACACATTTTGATATGTTTTTGTAGTGCTAAAACAGTAGATGGAATTTGAAACACAAGTCTTGGGTCTTTAGTATTAAAGGCCTATCTAAACTGTTTGTAGGAAACTTTATACTGTAGCTACTGAGATTTTCAATCTTTAATATTAGTCATGATATTTACATCAACAAGTATCTCTGAGCAGCACATTTTAAAAAAACAATGTAATGGGCATTTTTAAACTCCTTTGCACTTAATCAAACCACTCCATAATTTCTCCCTGCAACATGCTTATTTGCAGTTACTTACAATGATAATGGATCTTATCAGATTTTCATTTACATCCTAAAATAAAGGCATATACTGTACAGCACTGTCTAAAAGCTGACTCATAATTCCTGTGTTTTAATTGCCTTCTGTTGAGCAAAAAACTCATTAATTTTATTTTCACACTGAGAAGGTCTGCATCATGTTTACACAGGCATCTCAATACTGCCGTAACCTAAAAAATGAAACATCACATACTTTTTATTATTATTTTTGATAACTTCAAAAATAATCAAAAATTAAAAATCAAATTACAAAATGGCAAGTTTTAAGAATGACAAGTTGTGAAACTGTGGCCACTTTTACAATAACAGGAATATTGTATGATCACTGTTTATCAAACAACAAAATGATAAACCATTAGATATAAAGAGACTCATTTACTGTACTGTATGTAACCAGATACCTCTGACACTATTATACCAAAAGTTGCTTTCTTTTCACAGATATTATCAAATGATAAGAAAAGTAGTACATATAGGTTTTCTTTATTAACCTTCGTGGACAAAACAAAATAATTTACCCTACTACTATCTGATCAGTACCAAAACTAAATCTGAGAAATGCCTACTTTTTTAAATCAATTGTCAACTGATTAAATAGAACTGCTAAGAAATACCTCAATAATAATTACACAGATGATAAAATATCTAATATTAGAAATTTAGAGATGTTTTTTGTTTTAGTTTAGTGTGTAATGAAGTCTGGGCACTTCCACAAACTGACTGTACTTATCACAGTGTCTTCTAACTACTGTACAACATCAAATGGAATAAGTGGGTTCACAAATGAAGTTTTAGTGACTGCTGAATTGGCTTTCTGTTTTAAGACTCATTAACATGAAAGCATGCATTATGCAATTAAAGCCACAATTGGCTCAGAAAGAAACTAAAACATACATGTTACAGTATATACAGAACTGTAAGAAAATTAATAATAAACAAATACATCTGCCGATTCCTATGTAAACTACAGTATCTTTAAACCGCATGCTGAGCATCTGTCTTACCTTCAGAAAAATTAATCAGTCCCAGCAAGTGTAGCAGTTTCAGAGAGGCACAAACAATCACAACAATGCCCACTGTTTGCAGTCCCTCCGACTCCCACTCAACACTCAGCATGCTTTCGGGAGCCACACCATCTAAACTCAGCTCTGGAGTTGCTGCTTTTCTCTACCTGACAACTTCAAGCTAGGATGACGAACCACCACCAAAAAATAACCCCAAAAAATCCTCTTCTTCTCAAATTATGTGTAAGTAAAAGGCTTCTGCGAGTGATCGGTTTCTTATCGCAGTGCTTCAACTGGTTAAAGAGATGGGAAACAGCACGGAGAAAAGGTGTCAGCCAAAGCCTTTGCATATCAAGCTCTCTCTCTGTTCTTCCCTGGAGCTGTGTGTTTATGAGTGCCGGAGTGCTCCTTTGGAATGCTCTGATGACCACTCAGCCACTCGTTGAGACATCCTAAGGAGTAGTTAATGTTACTTTTGATTTGTAAGAGAATACCTGTTCCTAAACGGCTCAGGGAAAAAGACTTGGCTGTGCCAGTTTGGAATTCGCTGCCTCAGACACACACAAAAAAAAAGGAGGAGGAAGAACTTGCACTAGGGAGCACTGTTCATCAGGCAGCTCTGTGCATTCAAATGCACTCACTCTCAGTTCTGTTCCCTTACAGCATAGTCCCTCCCATGTAACCTCTAAAACAACTTTTCTTTCTATGTAGCTGGAATAGATGAGTCCCTTTAACGACCACTCAACGTTCCTTGATTACAGCAGTTTCGAGTTAGTTTTATATTTGCTGCAGCATCACAAACACAAAATGCAGAAATGAATCAGAAAAAAAAAAGACTGGAAAAAAATAAACGCTCAAAGCGTTACTGAAACATAAGGCAAACTGCCACCTAAAATAAATTAATCCTGTGCTAAGGGCATATTACGGCAAATGAAAGAATGTTTATCAGTGATTTGCAAGGTAATTAGACCTTTCACAGGCCGATAGAGGTGCTTAAATCAAATTCTCTTAGGCAGGTCTAAACATTCATTTACATAACCTACATCCCCAAAGGATGTTCCTGCATTGATCAGAAAGAAAAAGAAAAAGATCTATTATAATGAGCTCTCTGTAATATACTCTACAGTAGAAATATACACATTAAATGGAAGTGCAGACAGCTGTACATGTACATTTCATTTAATGGAGAGAAAATAAAAAGTGTCATACTGCTTCAATAGAACCGTCAGATGCTTCTAGATGACAACATTTTGCTGCGGTCAACATAATGAAAATCGTGACATAATCCCAGATACCAAGCTAATGGCTCCTCTTTAAGACAGCACTGTTATTAATTCAACTGTTTTCACAGAAGCGACTGCTACGGTATAATAAAAAGAAAATCTGTGTACTACAGTGAAGTAAAGCACATCATAATTGGTAGAAGAAAGAGAATACAAATATTTCTTTCTTCATGTAATTCAGAGTGACTGGACTTGTTGAAAAAGTGTGGGAATGATCAATCCATTAATATAACAACAAAATTGTAGTAGTCACTTTAAAGACTCAAATAGAAACAAATATGTTAATATTTTAAATATAAATATTTTAATTTAAAATATTTTAATTTTCTAGAATATTTGTTTCTTTAGTTTTAAACCATGTTTCAGAAAGGTAGTCAAATTCTTATTTTTATCATTAGAAGATTTAGTCACATTTAAAGTCCAACACATATATATTTGTCTTGGAATATACTCTTTATTTTAACATACAGTTCCAGGAAAAACAAAGTTAAGTATCAGTTAAAGTAATACACAATAGCTCAAAATATCTTACTTTAAACCGCTTATGAACAATTACTGTATATCTACTGAAGATGTAAATGTCATTTTTAATCCTAAATGTGAGCAACCAGAGGCTAATGAAGTTCAAACATCTTGAATGCACAAGATTAAAAGATTTAAACTTTAAGTTAAGTTAAAGATTTAAACACTGATATATTTAAACATTGAAACATTAACAACACAACATTGGTGGTGAATTACCAGCTTATTAATTTTGCAAAATGAAAACCTGAATTTCTAATTTGTAATTGGTAATTTAGAGTGAAGATTATCAAATAAGACTCATACTTCCTAATTTAATTACACTATGTAATTACACGCTGTAGATATAGTCAGGTACAGTAAATAAGAAACTTTACAATTGAAAGAGACTATCCAATTATGTATCCACTGAAGTGATGCATCTTGCATATTTATTCAATACATATTGGGAACTTAAATCACTGATAACCAGGTCAATAACAAAGATGTATGGAAAGCATGAATTCCAATCAAATAATGTGATGTGATGCAACGAAAGCATGTGACAATGTGCATAGCGCTTGGGTATCAATGTTAAAGCAATATCACAGTGGTTTGCAGGTCCTCCAAAACTGAGATGAAGAACATAATAAAGTACACAAAGATATTGAATCTTAAACTAAATGTTATAATTTATAGCAAATTTAATTTGACTAGGAACTCTTTAAATAACATTATATAATATGTTTTGTGTTTGTCGCATTGATGGATACAGGTGGATAGTGTCAGGATCGCATCTCCTCCTCTTAAGGGCGCTCCAGCCCTTCCTTCTGCCCCATTACCTGCACCTGTTTCCTATTTCTGTTCCCCTTAAAAGCCAGAAGCAGACTTCACTTGAGGTTCCTCACTGAATTCCGCTTTGTGAGAGCCCGGGGTCCTGCTGCGTCTGGCTCCGTTATGGTTTTAACCTTCTGTTACTGATTCCCCGCCCCGCAGGTCCCGACCCGGTTCATGGTTTTATTCCCTGGATGGATCCCCTGGTCTTGGACTCTACCTTCTGTCTTGGATTACCCGTTTGGATTTTCTCATGGATCGTTCGCCCCGGACTCACTCCCCCTGGACACCTGCACCCCTTGGACACGCCCCCTGTCTCCATACCCTCTCCTGCATTTCCTAGCGTTTTCTCACTCCCTTCCGGATCGTGTCATCTGCATAGGGCCCGGAAAGAACTGTTTGTGACAGATAGTTCATGTTTATGAAAATCAGGACAGGAGGAAAACAGTTAATGGACAAGTCAAGGGTAATTCCACACTGAAAAACGGAAGGAAGAAACAATGTTCTTCTGTCGTCTTCTTCGGGTGACACACCTGACACAAGTTTTGCTTGATCCTTTTTAGCCAATGCACACTGACACAACTCCTCACCTGACTTTTTAAGAAAGCATGGACAGATTAAAGCACCTGCTTCATAGACTAAAAAAAATAACTGCTGAAAAAAAATAATTAACTAGATTTCTAAAGTGGAGCTTTTAAAAAGTGACACATATTCTATTATTCTGCCTTTACCTTAACACACAGGAATAAAGACCCTTGAGAAAAAGGCCTTCTACGGAGTAACTGCTGAGGTGAAAAAAATAAAGCAAGTTTGAAACTTGTTTATTCTTTCCAAGCAAATAGCTATTACTATGAAAATTATTATATTGCTCAGTTTTGCAAATAAAAAATATATGAATTGTTTTGTGTTAACTATGAGTATGCAATATTAATAGTGATTATTCAATAAATTTGATAAAGATCCCAAATAAAAATCTAAATGAAGAATCACAAGTCATGAATAAAAGAATATAACAAAATGTTCTTGGACTGTGTTGTATGCTAAATATATAAAAAATGTATTTATCTGTATTGCTAGACAAGAGAAACCAAGAGAACCTCCATTTTTTCAAACAAACAAACCAACAAAGAAAGAATGCTGTTTTCGGAATTATTTTCAACAACTGAATGGTCGATAAATAACAAAAACTCTCAAACCAGGAATTACAGAAGTTTAAGAAATAGAACAGTTGTTTTAAAAATGTAACTGCAATTAAAAAAATGGAAGTCATCGTAATATTACTTTATATATTGTAAATTGTAAATATTGGCATACAGGAAGGGAAATAATTTAAAGAATATACTTAAAATTTGGGCGTCACAGTGGCGCAGTGGTTAGCAATGATGTCTTGCAGTGCTGGGGCCCTGGGTTCAATTCCAGAACTGGAACTCTATGTGTGTGGAGTTTGTGTTTTCCCTGTGTTTACATAGATTTCCTACAGATGCACCAGTTTCCTACCATAGTCCAAAGACTCAGCCTACAGCCGTATCACCCTGCGACTCACAACTGGCAACCCATTGAAACTACGCAGATGTGAGCCTGGTAAGTAACTGGATGGGAGCCCTACTAAGCTCTACTAAAAACTAAGGTTGCTGCTGGAAGAGGTGTTAGTGGGACCAGTAGGGGGAGCTCACCCTACAGTCTCTGTGGGTTCTAATGCCCCAGTATTGTGACGGGGACACTATACGCTAAAAAGGTACTGTCCTTCTGATGATACATAAACACTGAGGTCCTGACTTTCTGTGGTCATTAAAAATCCCAGGGCATTTCTAAAAAATTTCCCATTGTTTTTTTTACCAATCATGACCTACTAATAATCTATTGTATGAATTGGCTTAATCACTCTGTTCTCCTCCCCACTGATAACTGATTTGCGGTGAGCGTACTGGTGCACTATGGCTGCTGTTGCATCATCTAGGTGGATGGTGGTGGATGGGAGTCCCATTACCTGTAAAGCACTTTTTAGTGGAGCTTCCAGAAAAGCGCCATAGAAGTGTAAGAAATTATTACTATAATTACTGGTAGGTTAACTGGCTTCTTGGAAAACTGGCCCTTGTGTGAATATGTGCATGTTTGTGTTGTGTGTGCCATGCAATGGACTGGCATCCAATCAGCGTGTATCCTGCCTTGTGCCCATTGCAGCTCTCCAGCAACCATGAATTGGATAAAGCAGAAAATGGATGGATGGATGGCTCATAATTTTTGATGGTTGTTAACTGCAAGGGACTGCTCATTTAAATACAAGAGCTATAATGACAACCTCAAATCCACAACCATGCTCCATAATTAAGGAAAACAAATCCAAGCAGGTATATACACAGATTCTTCTGCATCACCTTGCAAATATGGAGATTAGTGATTTCTCCTCTATATCAATTTTTCGTTCAGACATAGATTTTACATTTAGAGATCATTGCCTTCATTTTCTATTTTATTGGACTGTACAATTAGATGACTGACAATAAAATTGAGCTGCAATTCAGAATAGTTTTTAGGACTCTAGACAATGGAATGGTGCTCTGTGGTCAAATCCCACATGAGAAATCTCCTGCTGATGTGCCCTCAAACAAGCAAAACATTAGTATAAACTGGAACCAACATTTTTTAACAAAATGTGTTTCCAGTCTCTGTATGCCTCTGTGGATAAAAGCACGAGCCACATTAATAATATAAGCAGATTGCTGATAGGAAAACAATGTGTTTCACAATCTTTTCTGAATATTTGAAAGAAAAAGGTTAATTCTCTCATGTATTCCCACTGAACATGCTTTTGCAATGCATGGGAAAGCAGTATGAAATCCTGTCACAGCCATTAACTACATTAACCAACCAAAACTAGAAAAAAATAAAATGAAAAAAAGAAAATTCACAAATGGTTGTGAGAGAATCCTAAACCAAAGGGGAAAAGAACTCCATTGGGAATG